ACACCACGACGTCCCCGTCGCAGCGCTCGACGAAGGCCTCTGCGTAGTGCTGGGTCCGCTCCAGCCGCAGCCTGGGGGCAGGGGAGAAGCAACGTGGGGCGGCACCGCCGTCTCCCACCCGCAGGGAGAACACCTTCAAACGCCTGCATGCGCGAGTAACTCGCTTAGAACTGAACATATGGGAGCTATTAATACAATAATGATTCCTTAATACTGTTTTTATCTTATCTAGGTTTTTCCTTGCTCTACTCGAACGCACCAAACCGCACAGCGCACGGGCAACTGCGAGCTGCACCAGGAAGCGGCGCCCGCAGGAAGGCAGCCGCTGGTTTGCCGCGTGGTTGGTCTCTCACAGCGCTCCGTAAGCCCCAGCACACCCCGCGGAGCGTCGCAGCAACTGTTCGCCGTTGCTCTGAGGCAGTACCGGGTTTCCAGGTATCAACAAACTGGACGTGGTTCTCCCCTCAAGAACAAAGTAATGACTTTGAACACCCAGCTTAAAAAGAACATACTTTTACAGAGGACAAGAAATCAGCATTTTCTTAAAAAAAAAAAAACAAACCCCCAAAAACAAAAAGACCCAAACAGCAAAACCACCAACACCCAGCAGACTATGATGATGCCTCAAATAAAACAACGATACCTGGTCAGCACAGGACTAGGAGAATCCTGCATTAAACAGCAGTTGCTTAAGCAATATTACTGCTACCTTGACGATGATGCGCAGGCTAGCTTCCACATGATGCCAGCCTGCTGTTCCCTGACCACAGAAGATACCCGCTAATTAAGAACAACTAAGGGAGTAAGGGATTCAACAAGCTAAAAAGTGAATTTTGTAGAAATCCCACCTGGTGGGTTTGGTTTTGTTTGGTTTTTGGTTTTTTTGTTTTCATTTGTTCTGGAGTCTTCATTTCTGCTGGTGACTTTCTGACTCACCGATGCCAGAATTCACGCTTTGGCCACGTTGTCTTCCAGCCACGCTCCTTCCTAGCCAGGGCCAGCAGCTCCAGGTTCCGAGGGTTCCTGTTGGTGAAGTCTGGGGCAACCACCTCGTTCTCGCTTGTGTCCACTTCTCCCTCAGTGCTGGGACTGGCTGTCGTTGACACAAAGCGAAGACCTTGAGGGAAAGAAGGAAATAAACCCCCCCCCAAGGTGAAAAAAGTATCGTGCAGACAGCAGAGTGCACACAGTACGGGATGACACAGCTTGTAAAACTCCGCAGGGCAACGCTAGCTATTCTTTTTTCTTTTAAAGACTAAACAGGGGGATTACGGGAGCTGAACGTGTTTCTCCAGCGTACGAGGCGACCCGCAGGCTGAAGCCGAAAAGCGTGGGAAGTTTTAACAGCGGTTCAAACCCCGCGCGCAAAATACAAACTCGGCCACGCCCGGCCGGTCCCCAGGGTCCAGGCTTCACGAAACCCCACCGCGGGGC